TCCGGAGGTTTGGGTCTCCACACCTCATGCCTGGTGCCCCACACGATAAACTGCGGGAATCAACCAATCAAATGATGGCGATATGTCGACATAGTAGTGAATATTCAAAAAAAAAAAAACAATATTCAAAAAGAAAAAGGAGAGAGAGAAATTCAAACAATTCATTCTGCAGTTTTCATTTCTTCAATCTCTGCGTAAAGTAATCGGAACAGGTACAATTTCAAGCATCTTCAGTCAATTTTATTTGTCGTTTTAAAATCAGGTTTAAATTTGCGTAATTTTTTGGTAAAAGACGAACGGATCTGTGATTTTTCTTCGTTGGATCATAGGAATTGATCATGGCTTCGAAGCGGATCTTGAAGGAGCTCAAGGATCTTCAGAAGGATCCCCCAACCTCTTGCAGCGCTGGTATATTAACTAATTTTCACCAATTTTTTTTAAATAAATAAATAATGTTGTTGTGTTAGATAATTGTTACGAAAATCCAAATCCGAAAAAAAAAATTAAAAAAAATCAAATGTGTTTGTGTTAGATAATTGTTTCTGGGCAATTTCTGTTGAAACAATATTGAGTTATGTAATCTGAGCTTTTCTTATTTCCGAAGTTGCGATGAATGTTGGCTTTGACATGGATAATTCATTAGATACAAGTACAAACCCGAAACTTCATCTCGGTTTTTGCCGTTATTATGTTCGGTGTGTTGTATATGTTTCTTTCCTTTTCGTGATTTTGTGCGAGCGATACTGAATTGCAGTAGCTTTTGCGATGATTATTGGGATCTATTGTCTTCGTAAGGTGTTGAAATAAGGTCTGGGTCGTAGGTTTAGAAGGATTTTCTTTTTGTAATGGCCCACAGTTTTGGTATCTCGTTTTTGTAAATTGACGGGGTCTGGCTTGTACTGTAGCCAATGTTGATTTGGAGTTTGTATGGAATCAAGTATGTATATTTCCATAAGCATATAAGATATTGAGTTCTGAACGAGGTTTTGATACGATTATTTACTTCTCATGGAATCCCGTTTTGATTTTATTAGAGTTGCGTGTAGAATCCCTTTATTACTAAGTTGAAATATCGTTTGTTGCAATCTTAAAACCACTGGAAAACTCTACCCATATCTTGAAAATTTCATGTATGATCTGCCTATAACATTTCGTATTATTTTCTTCCATTTGTCGTGTGGATGATTTGTATAACCAAACGATATATATAAATACGTTTCTTGCATATTTATTTATTTATTTATTTGTTTGTCTAACTCCAAGCCCGGTCTAATTTCGGTTAGCAATTTGTTCGACAACTTTACCTTTTGAGTTTACGTTTTTATGAGAATGAATCAGTGATGATTCTTGATATTGTTATGCTAATCACTTGCTTGCGCTGTGTGCATATTTCCAGGCCCCGTCGCGGAGGACATGTTTCATTGGCAAGCTACAATAATGGGCCCACCAGATAGTCCATATACTGGTGGTGTGTTCTTAGTTACCATTCATTTTCCTCCAGACTATCCTTTCAAGCCTCCTAAGGTGTTTCATTTACCCTAATTCACTATTATCGTGTTTTTGTTTTATTCGGAAACTTGTAGTTTTGTATATATCCAGCATCATATCTTTCAGCGTCGGTGATTCACCGCTTGAATCGCTGACCTCACCTTATTTTTTACTTAATAATTGTCTTTCTTGTATATTCATCTTCACGAAATATTGCAGGTTGCATTCAGGACAAAAGTTTTCCACCCAAATATTAACAGCAATGGAAGCATATGCCTCGACATATTGAAGGAGCAGTGGAGCCCTGCACTAACTATTTCCAAGGTTCCATTCTCTTTATTGCTAATGTTCTTATTTCTATTAGTGGACAATTAGTTGATATGAGGATTTTGACGGGATGATTTCAAATTCATTCCCATTGAGTTTGTTCGGATTGATTTATTTGATAATGGATTTCAAATCCTTAGATCTCATTTTAAGTTGTGTATTTTCAAATCTTTCTCATCTAGAGTGATTTTAAATCCTTATTTAGGTCCCGATAATTTATTGGTATTTTTGGTTTCGAAAATCAGGTGTTGCTTTCGATTTGTTCTTTGTTGACTGACCCAAATCCAGACGACCCTCTGGTACCCGAGATTGCTCATATGTACAAAACAGACAGGAACAAGTATGAAACCACTGCAAGAAGCTGGACTCAGAAATACGCAATGGGGTAACGGTATTTTAGTTATGTACAAGACAATATCCCTAAGTTTCAAATTAATATGCTCTTTTACATCTTATGCTTGAAATATTTCCGATCTATATTTCGAGTTCCTATAATTTGAGAATATAGATATTTGATTGTGTTCCCCTGTGAAAGCAAAGACACATTTTGCTCCTAAATCTGTTGTATGTTATCTTCAATTTGCGAAGACTCGATGCATTTATATGCACTAGTGATTCCGTCACAATTAAAAATATGTATATAGGTACATTAAGATGACGAATATAAAAATCGAAGTTTACGGATTTCTATTTTTGAAGTTCTTCATCTCCAATATATGATCATTTACGAAATTCATTGACTTGCCTACTTTTATATATAAAAGCTACGTAATCATCTGAGTTACACTTGCATTTCGAAGTAGATTTACCTGAATTTTAGTTGATAGAAAATTTTGGTACATGAAAAATTAGCTGGTCTTTTGTCAAGAAGATATAGCTCCTCTGTCTTCGTCTCGTTTTGTGACAAACGAGCGAATATTCCGAATTTCTACTAAAAGTTGCAATAAAATGTACTTCCTCCGTTTTAAGTCACGTGTCGTTGAAGGGGTCGACACATATATTAAGAAAACTAATGTGTACATACATTAGTTTTTAAAGCGTCATGTAATATGGAGAAAGAAAAGTTATCTCGGAAGAGATTGTAATTTGCAATGATATAAAAATGAATTGGACTTTTAACCATACAAGCTATTGGGCCGGTTCTACCGGGTTCAACCTAATTTTGTAATTTTGATTTTATAATCATTTATATTTAATTTTTTATTGGTAAATAAAGTCAACTTCTTTTTTACGCATTAACTCATTACTCCCCTTCAATTGAAACGTAAATCTATTTTTATTTTACACACAATATATCACATACGATACACTTATCACGACCCAATCACTTTAATTACTCCCCTCCAATTTAAACGTAAATGTTTTTCAATTTCAACATTTACTTTATTTGTTCAACTGGGAGTAGTAAGAACTAAGAAGACGTCGTTTTAACCATTTTGTTTGTTTATTCTTTTTTTAAACGCACTATTTTGGGCAAAAAATCTGATTTTCAGTCTGATTCCAATATTATGATTCAACCGGGCAAGACAATAGTTCGCGGTTCAACCTTAATAGCTTCCCTTGCCCCAAGTTAGCAAAACAGTTAAGTGTAATTAGCAGGAGCTTGGACCAATCCCATGTTGGCACAAACTTGATTATATATGATTAGTGCCTATACAAATCAAAAGTATTCTTTATCATATGATCATAATTATAGGAATAATCATATTAGTGGGCCCATCATAATCGTCTTAGCTGGGTTGATAATCATAATCAACGTTATAGAGTCCATTAAACCGGAATATATATATATATATATATATATATATATATATATATATATATATATATATATATATATATATATATATTCTCTACACCTGGTTATAAATACTGGGTGAGCCTTCTACTGTCATGTGTCATTTTTTTATTTTTCTAATATTCCTACCGCCCCTACGGTTAACCAGGTGGGGAAATATATTATAAAATATAAAAATAAAATATATTGCAACAGAAGACTCATTCGATATTTATCACCAGGTGTAGAGTCGAATAAGTGATAGATCCATGTGAACGATTATGATATTTAATGATTACTATTTACTACTAATGATGAATGATAATACATATTACACGTTTCGACTTTTAAGTGAGAACATTCTCTTAAGTGCCTTTTTCCCTCAACTTCACTTGTTGGGCCATCACGTGCCTGGGAAATGGTGGGGGGCTCTAATTCCCATTTAATTTGATGATGAACAAATTTTATTCTTCTCATTATTACATTTTATGATTTATTTTTTTAGTGTAGTTTTTTTGACATTTTATTTGTACACCAGTCTTTACTTGGTGAGCAAACAAATCGAAAAACTGAGCCATTTCAAACCGTTTTGAGTTGCAAACCTTTGGTTCTAATTTTATTTTTAGCAAACTTTGAACTCTAAAAGCTGTTGGATACCCATTTGAATTAGATTACAAACTGAACATAAAACCATTTCTATATTTTTACGGAGATCGTAGAGTCTACGGGAGAAGGTTTAGTGGATTACGAACAAACTAAGAACAATATGTATAAAGATATGAAGGAGATAACATAAACAAAAAAGGCACGAACAACGACACTTCAACAGATGAAGGTATTGAGCTTTTGTTCACGGAAGGAGAAGGCAATCTAGGTACAACCATCGTCTCACCCTCAACAGGGGAGTCATCGGAGCAGACAAGAAGAATTGAATGCGGAGGTAAATTAAAGTACCTCAGATGAACGGTTCAGATCAAACGGTGAGGATCGATGGTCATGATCTAAGATTTAGGGTCTTCTAAGGGTTTGACCGAACTAGTGGGTTCAAGTGTGTTTGGGCTTTATTATTGGTTTACTCGGGTTTATATAACTCCTAACAGGGATGCAGTTTATGATTTTTAAGATGCTATACTTCGTGAAATACACAGGGTAATTTTAAATATTTGATGTACATATAATAACACACATCCATATGTATGTGTACTTCGTGGGTAATTATTTATATAAATCTATGGTTCGAAACACTCAGTGAAATACACCAAGTATAGCATCTCATTGACCGTATTCGACATAAATTGGTTAATAGTAAATAGATATACCATATATATATATATCTGAGAGTGATAGATACCACAACATGGACTTGACAATAATCCCACCATTAATCCTGCAAAGAGAATGTCGGGAAGTCGTGATTAATTACGCGTTCAAAGTTGTGGTTAACAACCGTCGATTTAGAAATTTGTCTAATCAAGAACTCCCTCTCTCAATCACAATCATGTTAGAGAAATCACGAAAAGTTCGATATTACACCAGATTATGTAATTAAATCTAGAGTTAACAATATAGAATCTAATTTCCAAGTGTATTAGATTTTGGGGCAATGATGGGTATTGCCGGTTGGTAAAGCAACAGAGGTGGGCCCTACCTAAGGCTGGCGTTGAGCCCATGACTTTCACAAGGTACCTGACCCAAATCACGTGGGCTATTATATATTATATATATTAGGGTAAATTACAAAACACCCCCCTGAGGTATGGTTAAATTACAAAAACACCCCTCTTGTTTGAATAATTACAACCACCTCTCTCAACTCATCAAATTTAGTGGAATCTTCGAGATTATATGGAATATTATCACTTTTGTACCCGTTTTATCCCATTCAAACTCTACATTATGAAGCAAGATGATCATAATATGTGATCTTAAGCTTGTATATAT